CTTGGTTTAACGATCTTTACCAGAGACAACAGCCTTAACATGTAACTAACAGTTTTGCATATGACATGAGTCAAACAGGGTTGTTAACTAAAACTAAAACTAATAAAAACAACAATATAACGCTGAAATAAAAAATATATAAATATTACATGAAAAACTACATGAAAATAAGGCCTTGGCAGCTTAACTAAAATTGCTAACTGGAAAACAATAAAAACAAACTCATCTAAAACTTAAATAAAAATAAATTAAACATCAATAGCAATTTTTAAGAAAATAAAAACAAATAATTGACAACAGAACATAAAATTATTAACAATATAAAAATACAAGCTAATTTTGATTTAATAGAATATTTAATTATATAAATAACACTGGAGCAGGAGTCTAACTGATCATCTCCCATCAAGGTTTTTGCTAAGAGGACGGTCAATCAAGAGTTAAGGACAAAACACAAGCATAAATAACTTATAGGTCCTCACCGAGAGAACCCTAGTTTACATGAATTACTCTGTAACCTCTGGCAATCTGCATATCAAGCAGGATTTAGCAAACAAACAACTGGCATATCTGCTTACCATCAACGTATTGAGGCAGGGGTTGTTGGGGAAAGATTTAGGGATAGGCTGTTTGTCCAAGACTCACTGCAGGCCACTTTGGCAGATATACACGGAAGAAAGAGTGTGTTTGCGAGCCACATATTTTAAAAATGGACTGGTCGTGGGTTAACTGTGAATAAATGGGACAGTTCACCCAAAATGAAAATTCTATCATGATTTACTCTTTCTTCTGTGGAACATAAAAGAAGATATTTTGAAAAATTGTTGGTAACCGAACAGTGCCGGGTTCCCATTAACTTCCATTGTACAGACAAAGAATACAGTGGAAGTCAATGGGAACCAAAACTGTTTGGTTGCCAGATTTCTTCAAAATATCTTCTTTTATGTTTTGCAAAAAGAAACGCATTAAGGTTTGGAATGACATTAGGGTGAGAAAATTTTGACCCAAAAATAAAAATTCTGTCATTATATATTGACCCTTATGTCAGTGGGGTCTAAAACAACATTGGACTCATTGGCTTTACTGCATGGACAAAACAAAAGTACAAGATTCATACAGGTTTGGAATGACATGAGGGTGAGAAAACAATGGCAATTTAAATTTCAGGGTGAACTGTCCCTTTAAGAAAAAGTCCTGAATAATTAGACTGGTTTCAGGTTCACCTGACCCAGATTGGACACATTTCTTTGGGGGTATTTAAGACATGTTCTTGTGTTCAAAAATATCTAGAGCGCAACCGAATGAAGGATTTTGTGGTGCTTCTTTAAAAATGTGACACACTGATTTAAAAACTCATGTTGTGGCACCCAAAAAAACAGTGCGAGACATGATGCAACAGTCAATATGTCTGTTTAAATGTGTATAGGTACAGACGCAGTGTTTTGAATGTGTTCAATTTAGAAGACGCACCTTTTCCTGAGAGGATTTTACAGTGCAAACTGTAAAAGCTAACGCACACCACACTGTCGGCATGCTAATTAGAGCACCACCGCTGAAATATTAAAACTAAAATATACATGTACCAAAAAATAGAGAGGAATAGTCAACCAGCATGTCCTATTCCTAGGCAAACACATGCACATAAAAACACGTCTCTAGTTCTCAGACTCGTCAACAAACACCTACTACCTTATTCGCAGTTGTCTCAGGGAATGACAACACTGGTAAGTGAAGCTGATGCAATGATGTCACACATGCAGCAAGTCTGTGTACATGTGCGCGCGAGTTTCTCTCACTCCACAGTGCGATGGGGAAGTTGTGATATATTCTCAACAGGCCTGGATGACATGTGTCACATTCTGATTGCCCCCTCTTTCATCTATTTTTCTCCTTTCTGGCTCAAATGTTCTCCTGGGGGTAAAAGTGTGTGTGGGTTTGACATAGTGGCACTAAATCGAATGTTGGATACCACTTGTCATTGGCTTCTTCTTTAAAACTTTTCATTTTGAGGCTTCTTACATAAAGGTTTCAACGGTCAGCAACCTTAGACACCTCTGAACGTGTATGCTATATTTCTACTTCAGATTTCTAGAACCTCTGTAATACTAGTGGATAACTAACATGAACTAACATCATGCCAACTTGAACAAAAGAGGAAACATAAAATACTAAGAAATATAGAAATTCTGAGAATTATCCAATGTTTGACTTAAATTCCTGACGATATAATTTATAATGAAAAAATAGTATTTCAAAAGGAATAAAGAAGCAATTTCACTATTAAGGATTTTGTTACAATAAACCACAAACAGTTGTAGAATAATATAAAGTAAAAACAAACAACTAAATAATAATAAGAAGAAGAAGAATCATGTAATTTCAAAATAAAAAAATAAAAGAACAACATTTTAAAATCTTTACTGAAGCAAAAGCAAAGAACAAAATGGAAAAAATAAGTCGTATATATGCACCTGTGATGCCAAATTAATAAATAGTAATATAAACAAATAAATCAAATAGTAATATAAAATGTAGTCAAAATTAAAAAGATAAAACTAAAAAATAACTTTTAAATAACATTTAATAATTTAATAATAAAGCAAACCAAAGCAAAGCAAAACAAAACAAAAAAAATGACACGTTCAAAGTCTTCAAACATAACATTTTCTGGCAGCTGCTAAAAGACAATGTCATTATTAAAGAAAAGAAAAGAAAAGAAAAGAAATATTATTATATATTGCTGGTGCCATAATTTCATCTGTGATGCCAAATTGATAAACAAATAAATAAATAATAATAATATAAACCGTAATATCAAAATAAAAAACTAAAACAGTAAATTATAATAATTTATAAAATAAAGCAAAGAATAGAATAAAACAACAAAAATCAAAGCAAAGCAAAAAACAAAACAGCGAAGCAAAGCAAAAAAAACAAGACATGCTATTAACAAATAATGCTATAAATAAACAAATAATGTCATTTTTAGAGGTCCAAAAAAAGGGGGGAAGGCACAAAAGCAATGTTGCTGGTGCCATATTTCCATCTATGCTGCCAAATTAACAAACAAACGAACAAATGAATAAATAAATAATAATAATATAGTGTAAATAAAACAACAAAAATCAAAGCCAAGCAAAAATACAAAAAGCAAAGCAAAACAAAACAAAAACAAAACATGCTATTAACAAATAATGCTATAAACAAATAAAATCATTATTCAGAGGCCAAAAAAAAGGATTTAAAAGGCACAAAAGCACTGGTACTGGTGCATCTACATTGCTCTCGGTGCATCCAAGTTTCCTGCAGGTTACTTCAGGAGATGTCTGTCCGGCAGCATAGAATTATCCAATGTTTGACTTAAATTCCTGACGATATAATTTATAATGAAAAAATAGTATTTCAAAAGGAATAAAGAAGCAATTTCACTATTAAGGATTTTGTTACAATAAACCACAAACAGTTGTAGAATAATATAAAGTAAAAACAAACAACTAAATAATAATAAGAAGAAGAAGAATCATGTAATTTCAAAATAAAAAAATAAAAGAACAACATTTTAAAATCTTTACTGAAGCAAAAGCAAAGAACAAAATGGAAAAAATAAGTCGTATATATGCACCTGTGATGCCAAATTAATAAATAGTAATATAAACAAATAAATCAAATAGTAATATAAAATGTAGTCAAAATTAAAAAGATAAAACTAAAAAATAACTTTTAAATAACATTTAATAATTTAATAATAAAGCAAACCAAAGCAAAGCAAAACAAAACAAAAAAAATGACACGTTCAAAGTCTTCAAACATAACATTTTCTGGCAGCTGCTAAAAGACAATGTCATTATTAAAGAAAAGAAAAGAAAAGAAAAGAAATATTATTATATATTGCTGGTGCCATAATTTCATCTGTGATGCCAAATTGATAAACAAATAAATAAATAATAATAATATAAACCGTAATATCAAAATAAAAAACTAAAACAGTAAATTATAATAATTTATCAAATAAAGCAAAGAATAGAATAAAACAACAAAAATCAAAGCAAAGCAAAAAACAAAACAGCGAAGCAAAGCAAAAAAAACAAGACATGCTATTAACAAATAATGCTATAAATAAACAAATAATGTCATTTTTAGAGGTCCAAAAAAAGGGGGGAAGGCACAAAAGCAATGTTGCTGGTGCCATATTTCCATCTATGCTGCCAAATTAACAAACAAACGAACAAATGAATAAATAAATAATAATAATATAGTGTAAATAAAACAACAAAAATCAAAGCCAAGCAAAAATACAAAAAGCAAAGCAAAACAAAACAAAAACAAAACATGCTATTAACAAATAATGCTATAAACAAATAAAATCATTATTCAGAGGCCAAAAAAAAGGATTTAAAAGGCACAAAAGCACTGGTACTGGTGCATCTACATTGCTCTCGGTGCATCCAAGTTTCCTGCAGGTTACTTCAGGAGATGTCTGTCCGGCAGCATAGCAACAATATGTCATTGTTATACCATTCACTATGGCTGTGTATGGCCGGAAAGACTACTGTTGGACCTCCTTGTGTGTTTTGTGCTTTGAATGTCGTCGCAATTGCCAGCCATCCTCAGGAGCACACAACCCTCAATGGAAACGCTCTCGCTGCGTCCCGCTATGTTTATTTTTGTGCGTCTGGAATACTTTTGTGCAACTGGGCAACAATGACTCACTGGCTTTTTGCGGAAATGGAGCAGTTTGGAAAAATTGAGAGAACAAATGAATTGACATTTGCTATCACTGCATCCCCAAGCCCTGCGCTGAAAGCATCGGATCAATGCTTGCAAATGTCCCCGGGGAGAAGTACCATGAAACGGCTCAAAGCCTGATCTTAAAAGGCTGGGTTATCGACTGATTTCTGCTCCAAAGGCTTTGGCTCTCTGTCTAAAACATACGGCTTTAGCTTTGACTGGCATGGTGGCTGTCTTAAAGAGGTGAGGCAAAAGGCTGGCAGCGGACTTACCCCCGGCAGTGTCTTCTGTTCGTGGAGGGCGTTCTGGGCTTTGATGGCCGACTCGCGGGCGCAGTAGGTGAGGAACGCGCAGCCTGTGTGACAAAAAGGAAAGGAGACTTTCAATGACTTGGATAGACAGTGGTCTTGAACTCAATACTGCCTGATATCGACGGGTGGCCAAAGTCATTTGAAGTAACCAAACAGCTTCCTGTAGCAACTAAGAGTGGCCAGACAATCAAGACAAAAGCATTTACATTTATTCATTTAGAGCAGACACTTTCATGCAAAGTGACTTTCAAATGAGTACTATATGGGTAATATAAGGAGGAACACAATACAACTAGTGCTACTTTTGCTTAAAAAAACCTGCTCAGACTAGCCTAAACTGGTTTGACTGGTTTAAATTGGAACCCCAGACTGACCAACTACAAAGTGCCCAAAACCCGGCTGGATTAGGCTGGCAGACCAACTAAAACCAGCTTAGTTAAGGTGGCTTTTTCCAGCAGGGACCTTACCAAATTTTATGTAGGGCAAAACATTAGCCAGGTTTCCATCCAAAGTTGCGAATTTTAACTTTTGTGCAAAATTGGAATATCGTATAAAGCATTTGCAAATAAAGCATTGTTTCCATCCAACGAGTCAAAGAGAACAAAATCATAATTCCTAAAAAACTGACACTAAATATCACTAAGAAAAGTAGAGGCAACTGTACATAGTAATTTTCATATATAATAAATGACTTGCACCTCAGAGTGAGCAGACAAAACAATAAATGTGAATATTGCTTTCAGATGTGGATGCCTGTTGTTTGGGAACGCAGTAGTGTAAGACGGTTACACAGAAATACTTTGACGACAGACTTCGCTCGGGTGTTTAAGAATGACCATAACAACTTTTTAGAAGCTGTGCAACGAGATCAGTCCTCTGGTTAGTAAGGTTATGCAATCCCAGCGCAAAGTCACACAGTGGCGGCTCGTGGGTTTTAAAATAGAGGAGGCACACTAATTGCATTGGTCTGGGATCCCTGCCAATTATTATTATAATTATTTGCTTAACCACTTTAAAATGGCTTTTTGGCTGCCTTTAGGCAGAAAACGTAAAGAAAACGACACACATACAGCAAGATAATATAATTTCACTTACCTGGCCTATCACTTGAAGCAAACATCCATCCCTTCTTAAAAAAAATACACATTCTGAGACATGAACTGAAATGAATTGTGAATTTTATTAACATTAAATCGTCCTCCTCCCATTTTCGCCTCAAAATTATGGGGAAGCTGTGCCTCCCCTGCCTCCCCAGACGAGCCACTACTGAAGTCACATGCCTTTTTTTGATGCGCATGGATGAACTTATTCGCAAAATGCATTTCCATCCCCCATTATTTGCATTAACCCTTTTTCGCACAAGTCAAAAAACACCTCAAGCGAGCGTAAAAACTTTTTTTCAATTTTTTTTTCTGAAATTTGGTGTAACTTCAAAATGCGCATAAAACAGGATAATGAAAAAATAGCTATTAAGTGCTGAAAACTACAGTAAAGAAGCATCCACCACAAGACTGAAGTTAGTCACACATTCCACAGGTTCTTGGTTTCTCTCAAGCTGTTGTGCAACAAATCTTATGCAACTAATCTCAAACTAGTCTCAATTACGAGAGCTATAATCCGAAAATAGCAAATTAATTACGACCCAAATATCTTTGATTTAAAAATTCACTTTTTTGTACGACTTGTGTTTTCAGAAGATTGTAATGGATTCTGCTATTTGACAGAAGGTTGGTCGGTTCCGCCACTGATGAACAGTGAAAGTGAAGGTTTCTGGAAAAAAGTGTCCAAAAAGGTAAAAATAAACATAAATAAACAAGCAGAAGCAATGTTGCTGGTGGCATATTTGTATCTGTGAAGCCAAATGTTGCTCTCGGCTTTTCAGAGTTTCCTGAAAGTTACTTCTTAGCTTTATTTATTCATTTGCTTCTAGAAGTTCAGTATGTTTTCTGTTTTCAGAAGATTGTGATGGTTTCTGCTATTTGGAAGAAGGTTGGTTTAGTTCCACTACTGAGGAACAGTGAAAGTGAAGGTTTCTGAAAAAAATTTAAAATAAATACATAAATATATAAACAGCAGTGGTGTAATGTAACAAAGTAATACTTCGTTACAGTACTTAAGTATTTTTTGGAGCAGGTTTGACGAATCAGTGGTCTGGCGTCTGCAAGTTAGACTCCTAAAAACACCTTTGCTCATGCAAACAAGTGCGCAAACAACCGCAGATGATTTCATTTTCCACTCAAGTCGAGTCTGGGGTGTACGATATACAGTATATCTGCAGTAATATGGTAAGTGTTGTTTTAATGATGTGCTATCTGACATTATCAAGTAGGCTATATCACCAAATCACACACAG